TTTTAGTTATGCAAAAGACAATACAATCCTCACTTGGCATCTTTATTTCGTTATTCCAGTACGTAGCAGTTACATTTTTCTCGCAACTTTGTTTTTTATTGTGTGATGCTTATTTTTTATTACAAATCTTATTTAAAGGTGGTGGTACTGTTGGCTAATTAGCTCAAACAAATCATAAAAACTTAAATGTGTCTTAGTGTCCTAGATGAGCTTGCTTAGCTGTGAGTACTACTTCATATGGCCAGGCAATAGTATACTCTCTGTAAGGTGGAGCTGACCATTGATTTTCCGAAACGTTAAAGAAAATGTTGATTTATTTCCTGGCATGAATCCATTCCCACAAGTCTCACCGATGATGCAAACAAAAGTATATTATGAGAATAATGCTGTAGAGTCCCCAGTCTCTGGCATAATTGTAACTAACTATGCGAATAATACCATAGTTGAAGTTATACCTTTTATTCAACTAACAATGAGAGTTGGAAACAAAAATTAATAAGTACCCGAAGCAAATAAAATACTAATTAAGTCAGACTATACAGCTGAAATTAATGATCATACAGCTGAATTCCAATCACTCAAATAATTGTAATTAAAACGCCTTTAACTAGTGTACTCGTAATTTATGTAGCTTAACAAGCTTCTAAGGTTATATTTTGTTGCTTGCTATACATGCCAATATATTAAAATTTTCAGCAATCAATACAGTTATTGCGCAAAAGTTGTTAAATTACTTATAAAAAGTAAACATTTGCCTTTGACAAAATTGTGTAAAGAGATGCTTCTTTTAAAAATTGTAGTATTAGTTACTTTTTAACATTTTTACAAATTAATGCTAATTTTTTTTTAGAAATAACAAGCATTTTGTTACTTTTAGATCTGTCCTTAATCTTTTTTTCCATTATCCTTTTTTCGCGATATTCTCTATTGGATTAAATTTTTCTTTGATCTCATCAATATATAAAACATAAATCATACACAACGTTAAATATCAAAAGAAAATTGCAAAATCGACACTTACAGAAATGATGTAAAGTTGAAGAAAAGATTATTTAAAGAGTCAATAAAAAATAGGGAGGTAAATATACCGATGAAAAAGAGAGTAAGTCAAGTTATTAAATTGTATATTTGTTTATTTACCATAAATCAGTTCGCAATCAATTTTTTTTTTTTTCTTCTTCTATTTAATGATTTTAATTTAGAAAAGAAAATTGCAAAATCGACACTTACAGAAATGATGTAAAGTTGAAGAAAAGATTATTTAAAGAGTCAATAAAAAATAGGGAGGTAAATATACCGNATATCACAAGTATTATTTTGACTTTACATTAATAAAAAAATTATTGAAATTATAGTTTGACTTAATCAATTAAAATTGGAAACAACTGGAATTTTTAGTAATTTGCCTTAAATTTTGATTTTAGAACTCATGGCAGTATTAAATTTGTACATTCTAGAGTTAAATAGTTCAAGATGTTTGTCAAAAATTTTAAAATTTAATGCATTAGTGTTACGAACTGGCAAACAACTGTGTGTTAAATAAATCGCATTTAGCAAACATTTCTCCATTTTGTTCCGCTTCTTTGGTTTTGTATCCGTGACTATTAAAAAAACTCTGTCTGGTTCTGTATTACAGTGGGGCAACAATAGTACAGCTTCAATTAAAATTTTTAAATTTGGGAACCCTAAGTCTCCGTTTTTGAAGTACGATACAATAATTTTTTTATAAAAAGCATCTCATTCTAAGTCAGAAATGTTGACGTCGATTTAATTAATGCGAGAAGGAAACTGCAACATTCCTTTTTTTTAAAATCGAAATAAATATCCATACTTAGATGAAAAAAAAAATCTAAAGATCTTAAAATATGCCGGAATTTTCTATCCAAAATTCGATATTAAAAGCATTCTTAGGATCAAGAAAATCCAGTGTTTCAAGCAATTTATTGTTTTTAAAATAATTTTTTTGAACCTCATTAAAAGCGGTTACGTAAAAGTTCAAACAGGTCTTTAGGAAGTCCATACCGTCTTGTTCTGAAAGAGGCTTTAAAGTAGAATTGCAAGCATCACCCACAGCAATATCACTTAAAGACCTAAAATCTTCATTGTTTACCTTATAATTAATGTTTTTCTGTAATTCTCCTACTGCTGTGACATTAAGAAAGTAAGAACTTCGTTCTAACAGAAATTGTTCTGCTTGTTTTGTTAAATATTTAAAAAATTGATCCAACATTTTATTTGTGGAAGAGGCCTACTGGGGATACCACTAAAGAAAAAAATCGCAGGAATAATCTATATACTTTTCCAATTCTTTATTTTTGTAAACTTTTCCTTCTCTTTTAAAACTTCGAAGTAATTTTATTCTGGCTTATTTTTTACTAGCATAAAAATTGTATTATTTCTCAATTTTTTCTTCAAAAAAAAAAAAGCGCCGAAATACTTACCACTAGG